ATAAAATGGCGTAAATGTGCTATACAGAGCGATTATTTTAACCGTAAATGCTCATCGTCATCAATGTTTTTGGAAATATTTTTTTGTACATGATTTATACAATTTTAATACATTACAAAAACGTATTATCAAAAAAAACAAGGTAGATTTTTTGTCGTTAGGTAATTATTATTACATACATACATTTTAAAACATTTTCTAATGACTAAATATTACACATTTTTAATTTCATATTACCCAAAGCAGAATATTCTGTTGAGAATTTTGGTTCCTGTATGCACATCGAATTTCAAACGAGGGTAGTTAATTAGCTATAATTATGTAAAGTTTATACGAGCTGAGTGTAGTAGATCAACATTTTGCGGTGTACTACCTACTGTGCCATTCCACTTCGGTGCCATCTATGTTTTAAGCCTTTAACTACTTAAACCCAATACCTTACCTTTTTAAAAAATTAAAATTAAAACTGTTATTAAAGTTTACCTATGTATCAAATGTTATCTATTACTATTCTATATACTTCACAGTTCAAATAGCGGAACTATAAAATAATGTTGGCTGTCATCGCTTAAAAATCCAATGCCTATTCAACGAAAGTATAACTGCGTGTGCACCAATCTTAAATTTTTCAAAAACAAAACGATATTCCCCAAAAAAGTTGATACTTGTATATTATGATTGTCTGTCAGTAACAATTCACTCTGTATATATTATACTACCATCGTGGTTGTCGTCGCGGACCTCGCCCTCTCGGCAAGCCAAACATCGCCGTGCGTGCCGTCGGTCATGTTTTCCAATACGGGATTATCCATCCCTCCCACACCCCCTCCGCAACACCGCCACAATCTGCGGCTCGTCGGTGTTTACTAATTTGCATTTCATCCCGTTCGAACTTTAAACGTCAACATAATATTATTATTACTATTATGTATTGTTTACGATGGTGGCAAGGACGGAATACGTATACATAATGCTTACTATCAAGTCGCAAGTCACCACCTGCAGCGAGAACGCACCGAACCACGTGCGACTCGAAACGACCCCAAGACGATAGGATATTAAAGTATTATTTACGGTGTACTGCAAATCTTTTGTTCCTGAAATCGTCGCACTATGCCACCACTGCGTTTCCAATTACAGATTATAAAAACAATTAGGGCCAACCTCATAAAACCGTAGATATCTCTATAATAATTGTATATAAAATAAAGGTCACTGTTTATACGTAAGTACATTAATAATTTTTCATTGTACATCCTTAATACGTTTAATTCCGCACACACAGCTCGACATTTCATATAGTTAGACCTCAACACGACATAATATTATTGAATGTATAAAAAGTATAATCCACAAACGTATGTATTACATTATATTATATCGGCAGATTGTATTATTATCAAACCGAATGTAGGGTGTTAGGCTATTATATACATAGGCACTGCGAAAGAATGAAGTGCGTCTACGATAATAATATGTCTTACATAATTTATTTATTTTACATAGGTAAGAGTATATTATTACGTACATATCTCGTGCCAAAGTATACACAATTTGTAGACTTACCTAAATTCGGTCTAAGAATAACATAATAGGATAAAACGAATTTCACGATCCGTGTACCGTGAAAAAAATCAAGTGCCTAGAAATGTCACCGAGACAAATTGTCGTCGCAAATCACGCACACATCGCACACATATATAATATATATATATATATACGAACTCGAGCACTCGAGTTTAGTATAGGTATATAGTACTATTTCCCGTTTTGTTTTTATTTTTCCCGTTCAGCTCATTACACCTGCTGGAGGTTAGGCGAGTATAATATTGTATTGTTTACACTTGCACTCGCCTCGTTTCGAGGAAAACAAATTGCTGGGGTTCTCGTCATTTTTCAAATAGCATATTATATTTGTATTATATAATATTATGTATATGATACATACGTCGCTGTCGGCGTACATAGTTTCTTTCGGAAACCAATACGTTCTTATAAATCATAAAATAATATATACCTATTGTTTGATATAATATGTTACCAGCGCTGGTGATATTATACGCGTATAGAACAATATTTTAAATTTCCCGTAGACGTTTGTTCGGTTGTTTTTTTTTCTTAAATAAACGCCATTCGTGACTATAAATAACTTTCGATCGCACTCGCGTGTTTCAATAAAACACTTCACGTCATCGTATGGAAGTCTAAGACTTTGGCGTATTATATATTATGTACAGATATAGTAATATATATATACTATACAAGTACCTTGCAGGCGATGAGGTGACAAATCATCGCCCGAGTAAAATACTATATGTATTCATAATAATGCATAGTGCTACAGTTCCGCCCTTAATGTTATATATTATTAATTCTAGATTCAGCGAAACTGCAGGAGTGCAGGAGTGCTGTTGTTTTGAAACACCCTCATCCAATATCGTCGAAAATCGACCCTGGAAGTATATAAAATGCATGAGAATTTTAGTTTGGATGCTCGTGAGTGTAAACTAGATTAAAAGCAACACGCTATTTATAAAAACTATGAAGATAGAGGTTAGATCGTCGAGTTACTAATTAATTTCAATTATAAACAATAAGTATATTTATATTTATATATATATGAGGTATACCTATATACAACAATACTATACTGCAACAACTCATAATTTTTTAGAATAATCAAAATATTTGCACAAATAATTGTAATTGTCAGCCAGAAGTCAAAACAAATACTGCGTTTCTAGATATTGTATTTTGTTAATCGTGTACGTTTTACTTTTACGAGCACAAAGGACTATTACATAAACGTTAAACTATATAATATAATATTTTATTTGAATGGAAAACCGTTAAAATAACTTTGAATGGTTTTCTTTTTTTTTATCGTGAATACAGCTTATTTTACAATAAAATACTACAGTATTGTGTATCCTACACTTTTACAGTTGATATATATATATATACATCACATTTGCCTGTGTAGGTACTTATGTATTTGTGTCATTGAGTTAAAATTATTTTATTTTAATCGAATCGAACTCTAAAGAATAAGACGTCATAATATAATAATATAATTTCGTTGTATCGAAAATATTATTTTTTTCTTCCTACGTTTTACTTTTGAAAATCTGTCTGAAATTCTGCAGTTTTGCCGATTTGAAAATTCACCTTACGCACTTGATGTTATTATTTATTATGAACTCACTTCGTCGTGTTATTAAACCACCTTGACACAGGTGCAATCGGCGCGTGCAGTGTAATTTACTAACTACAAAGTCAATAATATACAATATTGGACCTTAACACGCTGAAACAAATTGTTTTCCAGCCGTACCTATTATAGATGACGCACGGACGGACATTAATTTACGTAAGATCATTATCCGTTGCACCGGTGTTACCTAGCTATTATACTTACACATATATAAAATATATTGTTGTTGTTACTTGTTGTTACATGTTGTATATACGACTGGGGTCGGGGTGGTATATTCGTTGCACACTTGCACTTCGTCTTCCGTTATAGTCGTTACGATGTGAAAGATATCAACGGACGGACGTTCACACCCCCCTCGTCCGGTTTACTATACTCTTGGATGTTGGATGTATAATATATATCTGTAGACGACGACGAAGATGATGATGATAATAATAATGGCTCGTTTTCTTTGTGTTACAAATCGGTTGCTCAGACCGTATATAACGCAACGGACGAGGGATGTATTATAGGTGCCTATACAGTTTAATTTCGCCAAAACTTTACGCACTAGGTTCTTATTTTTCTAGTAGCCCCTTTTTCCTAACTGACGCCCGAGATATTGTACGCACACACACACACACACACATACATACATATAGGTATAATATGCCGTATATTATTGCTCATGACCGGCGGTATTACTTACCTCGTCCAAGAACACTGTACCAGCTGTCATCGTTCCGGAAAAACGCACTAATTGCGTATATACCTCATGCAGCTATATAATATACTAAACCGTTTTTGTTTCGCCAAGAAAACGACGCCGACCGACACACATGCGTCGTCTTTATAATATGATATCATATACGTATACTTGTTGCACCGTGTACGTGCCATAAATCTTGTTTTAAAAGTACTTACATGCTTTTTTTTTCTGCGCTAAATATTTAGGCATAATATTTCATGTGCGCAATTAGGGTTCGAGTGCCTATACTCACTGCTGTAACACTTGTAACTATATATTATTATATATATATATAGTATACCAATACCGCCCCTTCACTATGATTACTCTAAAATTATACTGTATAATATTTTATTTGTAATATAATACTGAGTAATACATTTAGCACTAGTCATTATATCAAAGAGTAATGACGTTTTAAAACATTTTTTTGAAAAATATTAAAAGGACAAAACAATGGTTTTGAATAAAATCATTTTATATTTGTTTTTTATTTTTATGAATGACAGTATTATACGTCATTTTTAATTTCATCTTCCGGAACAGAGTACCTATTTTTAAAGAATTTTTATGTACAAAATCAAATGTTGTATTGTCTAATAGAAAGATTAGTTTCATAATACCATGTGAATGAATAAAAGTAATAATCATAACTTTTCGGGAAACGAGAATAAAGTTTCAAAACTATTGCTGTATTATCTATAATAGACTTATAGATTTTCATTTTTTGCACCTAATTAAAGATAAAAAAATCGAATCAATTGTTCATATTTTAGACATAAAAACTACGTTGAAGATTGTTTTCTACAAGATTGCGGGGTAAAAAAAAAATTGAGAAAATTGACTTATTTATTTTGCCCACGAGTACTTCAAAATATATATACACTATATACTACACTCTGTACTCGATTTCATTATTTTTAATATATAATTTATTTAATCGTGTGGTACTGTGGGCATCCAAGTAATATTATACTGCAGTTTTGATACGGCATCCATTATTTTTGTCAAGTGCAATATTATTATTTATGTTGGAATGTGTTATAGTATAATTATAATTTATTAATTTTGTTTCAGGTACAGAACAAATCACCGAGTGAAAATACATAATTTGTGCTTACGACCTGATCACAGGTAATACTATATTATTATTAATTATTGAAGTTTGTGTTATTTTAGTGCAAAATGCACTCGGATTCGGTTGAGTATACAGCACGTTATTTATTATTTATTCGTACAGGGATCATATAAAAGGTTAAAGTCATTCTATATAGAACTACGTAGTTTAAATTGAAAACAATTTATTTTATATAAGTTCCAAGAATTAAAATAAATTAAAACACTGATGGGGTATGCCCTGTTTCTACGAATTTTCAGCGATGATAACTCATGCCCAGCGTTATTCGAAGATTTAAGTATATATTTGTTATGTTCAAAATTAAAAAATCGTAAAAAGCGAAAAAAAAAAAAGGTAATATTAATTACTGTTCAACTATGTATCATTTGACATAATATTTATATAATAGCTATAATAAAGCTGAGTTTTCCTTTTCATAGAAATAATTACAAGTTAAAGTTGTTTTAATTTGTATTAAATTTATTTAACTGGCGAGATCCTTTTTTATATAATTTATATTGATAATAAAATATTAATTATGTAGATAATTTTTAAAACGTTCAGCTAATCGGCTGTACCGATGTTGTTTAACATTTTTATGAGATCAGTTATATCTTCAAAATATAGTCTATACTGTTTATTATTATATTATAATAATATGGAGACTGGTGTCTGGTAAACGTGATAATATAATTTGGGGGAGCACGAAACATCAAGGGATGGTCCGGACGAGTAATTTGAGTTGACAGAAAAAGTCGCAAAAGAATCACTCGACCGTCTGCGCTGGCGGCGCCGCTCCCACCAACTTTACTGTCAAGTTATAATACATTGTTCGACCCAATGACACTGTTTTTGAAAATAAGAGTTCCCGGTATAATTTACCGTAATATGGTCTAATTGGCAACGATGCCGGATGATATGCGATCATCGACGGAAGCTGTAATACTGTAAGCACAATATTGGAATACTTGGAACCAATGGATGAGCTTTTAGTTGCTCTATAATTTGTAAGTTGTTATTTTCAAATTGGAAAAAAAATTCCCGAATCAAAGTTTATAGAATTATTTAAGGGGGTTAAGCAATGTAGAAACCTGGTCTGTGCTTTCTCCACTCGGTCGATGCACTCAAATTTCAACAGCAAGCCTATAAATAAGACATATTTTTCCATGGATTTTCAATTCTTATTGCAGTTATCATTCCAATAATATAATATAAAATATTCAAATAGAATTATTAAAAAAAAATAATTTATATAGGGTATTCAAAAGTCAAGTGTGATGTAATGTTGCGGCGAGTACATTTTTTAAAATAATTTTTGCTTATACAAAATCGCAGAAGAAATGTTTGATTTACTTTAATATTTAATTCTAAGAATTTATGAAGCAGTAAATATTTTTATTTGTGGTTATAATGTATTATACGTGCGTCATGCAAGTAGTAGCATTATTATAGGACGATCGGTTAAGGTTAAAGAATATCTATTAATTATTTATTTTATTTTTTTGTGAACAAAAAATGCATTGATTAACTATTGAAAAAATAGATAACTGTATGTAAAACCACAAAAATGCCTTTTATTTTATCAATACATAAAAAAAGTTCTTTTAATCGTTTATTGTTTATGTTAATTTATTTGAGGATGACGCGTTTAATAGGTAAATGTTGTTAAATGTGAAAAGTTTCAAGAACCCAAGATATTTTTTGAATTACAATAAATTATAAAATAACTAAACCTGTCATTGGAAAATTAGCTATCTTACGTTTAAATAGTTAAATTTTCAATTTTATTGAAAATCAAAATATCTAAAACAAAAAATGTTCCTATGTATTTTCGCTAATTTACATAGGTATCTACAAGAACAACTTATGAGGGCGTTTGTATTAATTTTACCAGAGCTCTTTTAAAATTGAAAATATAATGCATTTTTAACTACTAAATAATTAGTGAATTTCATCAAAAACCACCCCTAAAATTAAAGACTAAAGCATTTTTTTTGTTATTTATAGAAAGACTTTAGATGAGATTATTTTTTTTATTGGACGAATACAAAATTAAGACTTCTAAATTACACCAAAAAATACTGTACTTCAAAGCTTAAAAATCAGGATAATGATTCATAAGGTAAAACATTAAATTAAAATTTTGAAGGGATGAAAAATAGGGTTGAAAAAAAAGGGGGGAAATGCAAAAATTGTATTTTGCTACACTGACCACACCAAAGGCACTGGAGAGATTCGAACTGTCTCAATCTCCTGTTTACTAGACAGGCGCTTTTTTACCAACTAAACCACAGCGCTGGCGACCGAGGGTTACCATTTCAACGTACTTAACTCGGATGTTGCGTAATTTTCCCTTAAACAAGACTCTGAATAAAACAACGATATTTGACTTATATTTGACTAATTTAAATTGATATTCATAGTTTGTACTTTCATACAGTCAACTGTTTAATATGGGTAAGTATAAAGATTTATGTCTTCGATTTCGATTGCAAAGTTTGATTCGTATTTCATTTTTTGGCATTCCTATCTTTATCGCTGAAATCGAGTTGAATCGTACATGAATATAAGCATAGAAAATAGATGAAAATTAGAATTAGAATAAATGTATAGTTAAAATAAATTAATGGTGGTGATCATGTTTGCCTAGAGGTTATTATTTTAAGTTGTGCTGATATATTTTACTATTTTAAGCTATTGTTATAATTTCAGCAGATATTAGATATTGTAATATCGCAAATCATAAAGGGCTAACATAGAGGGTACCTTTTGTTAACTCGTTTACTCAATATGTATGATAGTGTGAGGTAGTAGGGTAAGATATATGAATAAACAGATGATTGTATTTTTTCGTCAAGACAGCATTATTCATCACTGTGAGATGTTTAGACGCCGCTCGTAATGCTGTTGTCATACACAGTTCTTGTCAAGTAGTATAAGGTCTATGATTAGAATAAATCTTCCCTACTGACACCAATACAAAAAAGTTAAAACCATTATTTTCTAAAAAGAGATTTGACTTTTATCTAACTTTCCCAAATCTTTTATTTATTTCCTATAATACCTTATATAATATTACAATTTATGATTTAATGAAATACATACCTATTTATAAAACATGTTTATTGTAGAAAAAAACAATTTTTCCTAAATTATTATATTATGAATTTAACATTAGGTATATATATATTTTTTAATTCACTAACTATAATTTCTATCTACAACCGTGATTATGTTAAAACTTAAAATAATAATAATTATATTTTATGCTAGGCGCTAGCACTTATCCGTTATCCTTACAATATTAAGTAATAAGTTCACAAGGGTCGAGTCATAGTACAAATTCTTACCAAAAAAAAACACCGATTTATCGCAGGGGGCACGGCCGCCCATAAATAGATCAATAATTGGCCATAAAATGTCCCCATTGCTCCCCCCTAAATACGGCCTTGTTCCAATGCTGTATCTATAAAAACATAATGTCGCTATAAATGATAATGATGTAGGTACCAAGATGTTTCCGAGTGTTATATTATTATTATGTTAATATGCGTAGATTGAGATCTCATCGCAAAACCAACCGATTATCTGAAATCTGAAATAACATTATATAGTATAATATTTTAGTAAATTGTTAAACAACAATAAGACAGACCCGAACAGTCTATAATTTATATGATAATATAGTATAGCATATATTATAATAACTCGGTATCGAACGTTCGAAATGTCGACGCCAGCTGCAGTTACACGACCCATGTTCCTTACGGCTTACCGAAGGGCGTGGACGACGAAAAAATTGCACCGATTTGAGGGGGGGGGTTCAAATGTTCAATCAAAAGTGCCGGGTTCACACATAAGTACATGAGTACACAACAACTATGCGAGGGTAAACGGGTGAAACGGCGAAACGTCTTGCCGGTCACACTCACGGGACCGCATTGCGACGTCGGAAGTTCGAGGTGTACGCGTGCGTGTCTTCACCAGACACCTGCACCGAAACGTCTCCGAGTATAATACCTGTTAGGTAAACGATAAAAATATATGAATAATACGCTAAGAAAACGTAGAAATAAGGGACAAAATATGTATCCGAGACAAGAGAGGATAATAATATAATATTATGTATACGTGTGTAATGTGTACTGTGTAGCTGTATAATTGCATGATACCGGGTATCTCTGCATTAAATGTTGAAATGAGTATCAGTAGTGACCGACTTCCTTTTTCCACCCCAACTAATTCGGATATTATGTTGCTGTACCGAAAGTGTTAGTTATTTATAAAATCCCAAACATTATAATACCTTTAATATTTTATAAATACATACGTAGCTTTATAAGATTGCTTGATTTTCTCGACCGTTGCCAACGGCGCTGTCGCTTGGTTGGTTAAAAAGCCTGTCTCGTAAACAGGAGATCGAGAGTTCGAATCTCTCCAGAACCTTGTTGGGACCGAATCCCCTCAAAAATTCTTTTGATTTTTTTCCAATTTTGTTTTCACTTAACTTAAACTGTTTTGATTCTAAAAAGTATTAAAGCGAACTTTTAAAAAAAGGCATACGCATTATGATTACCACACTTACAATATTCAATAGTTACTATAATAATAAATTATTTTAAAACTTATGTATATTATAAATTATAATACAGATTTTTAGAGTAATCTCATCTGATAGTATCCATATCAATTTTTTTTTGTAAATAGATTTTTTATTCAATAAGTGTTTCAAAATAGGTAATAAACAATGGAGACAATTGATTTATTTAGAAAAAATAAAAAAATAAATTATAGATGAAACATATTGGCATATTTCCCAGTCGGAGGTATTCAGTTACTGCTGGCTTATCAGATAATAATATTATTTGTGTTATAAAAATAAATACTTACTGTATTGAATTCATTTAAAGCGTAAAATATATTTTTGAATATATTATATATTTCTAATATAGGTTAGTCTGAAAATGTATTTAGAAATGTGTTACTTATTAGATTAATAAAATTAAATGTTGTATTT